TGCATCCAGCCCGTCTCCTTCTCGATGGTGAAGACGCCCTCGGGAGGGGTGTCCGCCCCCTGCCCCGTGATGCTGTAGAAGATCTTTGTCTCTCTGTCCCGGTTAGATTTGATCTGGGTGGGGAGACGCAGCCCGGATGCAAGGGGGATGGGCACAGCCAGCATCTCACTGTGCCCTCAATGCGCAGACCCATGCACAAAGCTCAGGACCCCCCTGCCCCGATGCAAGGGGGATGGGCACAGTCGATGTCTCGCCCTGCCCAGGGCACATGCATCCCCACCAAGACCCAATACCCCTGCCCAGACAGACGCCTCGCGGACAGGCACCTACAGATGGGCACCCACGGACGTGACCCCACAGATGGGTACCCATAGACGTTACCCCGTGGACAGGCACCCACAGATGTGCCCCCGCAGACGGACACCCACGGACGGGCATCCACGGACGTGACCCCGCGGACGGGCACCCAGAGATGTGACCCCATGGATGGGCACCCACAGACGTGCCCCCGCGGACAGGCACCTACAGATGGGCACCCACGGACGTGACCCCACAGATGGGTACCCATAGACGTTACCCCGTGGACAGGCACCCACAGATGTGCCCCCGCAGACGGACACCCACGGACGGGCATCCACGGACGTGACCCCGCGGACGGGCACCCAGAGATGTGACCCCATGGATGGGCACCCACAGACGTGCCCCCGCGGACAGGCACCTACAGATGGGCACCCACGGACGTGACCCCACAGATGGGTACCCATAGACGTTACCCCGTGGACAGGCACCCACAGATGTGCCCCCGCAGACGGACACCCACGGACGGGCATCCACGGACGTGACCCCGCGGACGGGCACCCAGAGATGTGACCCCATGGATGGGCACCCACAGACGTGCCCCCGCGGACAGGCACCTACAGATGGGCACCCACGGACGTGACCCCACAGATGGGTACCCATAGACGTTACCCCGTGGACAGGCACCCACAGATGTGCCCCCGCAGACGGACACCCACGGACGGGCATCCACGGACGTGACCCCGCGGACGGGCACCCAGAGATGTGACCCCATGGATGGGCACCCACAGACGTGCCCCCGCGGACAGGCACCTACAGATGGGCACCCACGGACGTGACCCCACAGATGGGTACCCATAGACGTTACCCCGTGGACAGGCACCCACAGATGTGCCCCCGCAGACGGACACCCACGGACGGGCATCCACGGACGTGACCCCGCGGACGGGCACCCAGAGATGTGACCCCATGGATGGGCACCCACAGACGTGCCCCCGCGGACAGGCACCTACAGATGGGCACCCACGGACGTGACCCCACAGATGGGTACCCATAGACGTTACCCCGTGGACAGGCACCCACAGATGTGCCCCCGCAGACGGACACCCACGGACGGGCATCCACGGACGTGACCCCGCGGACGGGCACCCAGAGATGTGACCCCATGGATGGGCACCCACAGACGTGCCCCCGCGGACAGGCACCTACAGATGGGCACCCACGGACGTGACCCCACAGATGGGTACCCATAGACGTTACCCCGTGGACAGGCACCCACAGATGTGCCCCCGCAGACGGACACCCACGGACGGGCATCCACGGACGTGACCCCGCGGACGGGCACCCAGAGATGTGACCCCATGGATGGGCACCCACAGACGTGCCCCCGCGGACAGGCACCTACAGATGGGCACCCACGGACGTGACCCCACAGATGGGTACCCATAGACGTTACCCCGTGGACAGGCACCCACAGATGTGCCCCCGCAGACGGACACCCACGGACGGGCATCCACGGACGTGACCCCGCGGACGGGCACCCAGAGATGTGACCCCATGGATGGGCACCCACAGACGTGCCCCCGCGGACAGGCACCTACAGATGGGCACCCACGGACGTGACCCCACAGATGGGTACCCATAGACGTTACCCCGTGGACAGGCACCCACAGATGTGCCCCCGCAGACGGACACCCACGGACGGGCATCCACGGACGTGACCCCGCGGACGGGCACCCAGAGATGTGACCCCATGGATGGGCACCCACAGACGTGCCCCCGCGGACAGGCACCTACAGATGGGCACCCACGGACGTGACCCCACAGATGGGTACCCATAGACGTTACCCCGTGGACAGGCACCCACAGATGTGCCCCCGCAGACGGACACCCACGGACGGGCATCCACGGACGTGACCCCGCGGACGGGCACCCAGAGATGTGACCCCATGGATGGGCACCCACAGACGTGCCCCCGCGGACAGGCACCTACAGATGGGCACCCACGGACGTGACCCCACAGATGGGTACCCATAGACGTTACCCCGTGGACAGGCACCCACAGATGTGCCCCCGCAGACGGACACCCACGGACGGGCATCCACGGACGTGACCCCGCGGACGGGCACCCAGAGATGTGACCCCATGGATGGGCACCCACAGACGTGCCCCCGCGGACAGGCACCTACAGATGGGCACCCACGGACGTGACCCCACAGATGGGTACCCATAGACGTTACCCCGTGGACAGGCACCCACAGATGTGCCCCCGCAGACGGACACCCACGGACGGGCATCCACGGACGTGACCCCGCGGACGGGCACCCAGAGATGTGACCCCATGGATGGGCACCCACAGACGTGCCCCCGCGGACAGGCACCTACAGATGGGCACCCACGGACGTGACCCCACAGATGGGTACCCATAGACGTTACCCCGTGGACAGGCACCCACAGATGTGCCCCCGCAGACGGACACCCACGGACGGGCATCCACGGACGTGACCCCGCGGACGGGCACCCAGAGATGTGACCCCATGGATGGGCACCCACAGACGTGCCCCCGCGGACAGGCACCTACAGATGGGCACCCACGGACGTGACCCCACAGATGGGTACCCATAGACGTTACCCCGTGGACAGGCACCCACAGATGTGCCCCCGCAGACGGACACCCACGGACGGGCATCCACGGACGTGACCCCGCGGACGGGCACCCAGAGATGTGACCCCATGGATGGGCACCCACAGACGTGCCCCCGCGGACAGGCACCTACAGATGGGCACCCACGGACGTGACCCCACAGATGGGTACCCATAGACGTTACCCCGTGGACAGGCACCCACAGATGTGCCCCCGCAGACGGACACCCACGGACGGGCATCCACGGACGTGACCCCGCGGACGGGCACCCAGAGATGTGACCCCATGGATGGGCACCCACAGACGTGCCCCCGCGGACAGGCACCTACAGATGGGCACCCACGGACGTGACCCCACAGATGGGTACCCATAGACGTTACCCCGTGGACAGGCACCCACAGATGTGCCCCCGCAGACGGACACCCACGGACGGGCATCCACGGACGTGACCCCGCGGACGGGCACCCAGAGATGTGACCCCATGGATGGGCACCCACAGACGTGCCCCCGCGGACAGGCACCTACAGATGGGCACCCACGGACGTGACCCCACAGATGGGTACCCATAGACGTTACCCCGTGGACAGGCACCCACAGATGTGCCCCCGCAGACGGACACCCACGGACGGGCATCCACGGACGTGACCCCGCGGACGGGCACCCAGAGATGTGACCCCATGGATGGGCACCCACAGACGTGCCCCCGCGGACAGGCACCTACAGATGGGCACCCACGGACGTGACCCCACAGATGGGTACCCATAGACGTTACCCCGTGGACAGGCACCCACAGATGTGCCCCCGCAGACGGACACCCACGGACGGGCATCCACGGACGTGACCCCGCGGACGGGCACCCAGAGATGTGACCCCATGGATGGGCACCCACAGACGTGCCCCCGCGGACAGGCACCTACAGATGGGCACCCACGGACGTGACCCCACAGATGGGTACCCATAGACGTTACCCCGTGGACAGGCACCCACAGATGTGCCCCCGCAGACGGACACCCACGGACGGGCATCCACGGACGTGACCCCGCGGACGGGCACCCAGAGATGTGACCCCATGGATGGGCACCCACAGACGTGCCCCCGCGGACAGGCACCTACAGATGGGCACCCACGGACGTGACCCCACAGATGGGTACCCATAGACGTTACCCCGTGGACAGGCACCCACAGATGTGCCCCCGCAGACGGACACCCACGGACGGGCATCCACGGACGTGACCCCGCGGACGGGCACCCAGAGATGTGACCCCATGGATGGGCACCCACAGACGTGCCCCCGCGGACAGGCACCTACAGATGGGCACCCACGGACGTGACCCCACAGATGGGTACCCATAGATGTTACCCCGTGGACAGGCACCCACAGATGTGCCCCCGCAGACGGACACCCACGGACGGGCACCCACGGACGTGACCCTGCGGACGGGCACCCACAGACGTGCCCCCGCGGACAGGCACCTACAGATGGGCACCCACGGACGTGACCCTGCAGACGGGCACCCATGGACGGGCACCCACGGACGTGACCCCACAGATGGGTACCCATAGACGTTACCCCATGGACAGGCACCCACACAGGGGCGCCCCACAGATGGGCACCCCACGGACAGGCACCCGCAGTCAGGCACCCACAGATGGGCACCTCATGGACAGGCACCCATGGACGGGCACCCACAGATGGGCACTATGTGGGCAGGCACCCACAGACAGGCACCCACAGATGTGCCCCCATGGATGGGCACCCACAGACGTGGCACTCACGGACAAGCACCCACAGATGTGCCCGGGGGGGGGGGCACCCTGTGGACAG